TGAGAGGGCAGGAGTAAACGGGACCAGAGTGGCAGAGGCGGAAGGGAGAGGTAATAGCATTTGCCGAAGACAGAATGTGGGATGGGGGAATAATGGCTTGGGCTTCGCCCCTGGGTGCATAGTGGTTCTGGAAGACGAGAAGGAGGAGGACAAGGAGGGGCAGGTTTGGGAGTGGGGACAAGGAAAGCCGGGTTTGGGCACGATGCCAGACAGAGGCCCGTGGCCTCCAAGGGGAGATATCAGGTACTCAGAGTCCAGAGTTCAGGGGAGAGTCAGGGCTTGGAGTCACCTCTTTGGGACTCGCTGGCGTATAAATAGTATTTAAAACCACGGGACAAAAGGACATCATCTGGAAAGTGGGTGCAGATAGAGACCAAAAAAAAAAAAAAAAAAAGGCCCAGGACTGAGGGGTGGGGCGCTCTCCTACTTGAGAAGGAAGAGGGGAGAGAAGTGAAGAGGCAGGAAAGGAGACAGGAAACCAAAAGGAAGAGAGGTTGCTCTTTTGTCCCCACCCCCCTCCCAACCCCCCCCGCCCCCCCCCCCCCCGACCTGCAGACCCCATAGTTGTTCAGGCCTCCAGCTCTTGCCCCTGGGCACCTGAGTCCGCCCAGTCCACTCCCCACACTGCCTTCTGGGCGTCTTTGTGAAAATGAAGGTATGACACTGTAACTCCTCACGGCCCATCCAGGGTTAGAGAGCCAGTCCCAGCCTGGTGGCCGGGCCCCTTGTGGCCTGGGCCCCTGCACACATCAGCCACACCCCTGCGGATGCTCCCGCCCATCAGACGCAGGTGCACATGTAAGCACACCCACCTTGTATCAGCAGCCCGTCCCCCTCTCCCTCCTTTCCCCGAGTTGCGTTTCTGACACTTGTGTCCGGAAGCATCCCGACTGACCCCCACGGCCTCATGCATGCACACCTCCCACCCTCCCACGCCTGGCCCCCGAAAGCCGTGCCTTCCCCCAGAGCTCTTGCCCATTGGCATCGACCACCATGTCTTGTGTGTGGGCCATCTTGGCCTAACGTGGCCTCACCCTTGTCCGCTTGACCCTTTCCCGCTGCCCACTCTGGCCACAGGATGACACCCCCCCCCCCCCCGCCCCGTCCTCAGCCACCTGCAGCCCTTGGCTCCGGCTTGTACATCTGTGAGGTTAGACAATAGTTTTGAAACATGAACTCCTGCTTTTCACCCCAGACTAGTTTTGGGGGGCGGTCTGGATGGTGTCCACTGCTCCAGGGGAGGGTCATTATCAGCAAAAGGCACAGGAAAGGCTTTGGAGTTCCAAAGCGTTGGACTTAAGGGGGCTTATGACAGGGAGCAAGATCAGTTGATGTGTCAGAGAAGGGCCTCCTGCCCTGAGGCTGGGACAGTTTCCCAGGCTCTGGAAGGGGAGGAATGGAGTGGGCTCTGGGGAGAGAAGCCGGTCAGGCCTGGGGTCCAAGCCTGGGAGCCCCCACCAGTACCCCGCATGGCAAGTCTCATTCTCCATCACGGCCCAGGAGCCATTGCTATAGAAGCCATGTTGGTGCCCACAAACCACACAGCCCCCGTCAGCAAGTGGGGTACCACCGAGTGGAGATACCGAGGGGCTGTGGGGACAGATATGCTGGCCCCCCAGGGCCTCCCCAAGTTCTGTCATGGAGCCACCCAGGCCACCCTCTGATGGTCCAACAGGACCACCTTTGGGGCTATCCACCTTACCTACGGGGACATTCCTCGTGACGACATCCTTCAACCCCATAGTGCCCACCTACATTAACCCCAGACAAAGGAGTGGCCCTGGACACCCAGTGGTGGGGGGTGGGAGGGGTGCTTAGAAGGAAAAGCCTGAACACAGATACTGAGGAGACAGTGCCCAGAGCCCGAACAGGAGAAGACACCCATCTCCCCCACCCTGCTGGACCGGGGTAGAGTGGGGGCTGTTTCTGACTCACCCCTGTGACTCCGGTGCCCTGCCCAGGGCCTGATAAACATTAGGTGCACAATAAATATTTATTGGCCTAAATGAAACATGAGGCTATAGAGATGAGGCCCACGCTGTCCGATGACTGAGCCAGTCCCCACCCCCAACCTCCCCCTCCCGACTCACCTGCTAGTGACCACTCTGGGCTGACGATGTGACCCAAACTGGCCAATGGGATGAAGAACTCCTGGCCCTGGGCTCCCAATAAGGTTTTTGTGATGATGAATAGTCTGAGCTGGCCTAGCGTTTTGCCCTTTCCCCTTCATCCTGTCCTGTTGGGAGGTGCAGCAGCCATGAAGAGGTGACAGTCAGGAGCGCAAAGGCCTCCGTGCAAAAGGTGGCAGAGAAGGAAGATGACAAGAACCTGGGTCGCTGATGGCATAAGTGAGCCTCTGACCCGACTGCCCAGTCTCAGCTTTCTGTACGAGTCTCGTAAATCTCTCTGTGTTTTAGCTGCAGCTTCGCACGTATTCTGTTCTGTCAGCTGAGCACAACGGACTCACGACACATTCACCGGACACCGTTGGACTAAAACAGATTTGGGTTGGGATCTTGGCAGGTGACAGCTGACATCTGGATTTCCTCCCCTACCTCCACTCCCCCAAAACTGCTCTTGCCGAGGTCACCGTGTCAACGACGGGAAATGACGTTATTGTAACGGACAATCCTGAAATCGCGGCTCAACACAATGAAGTGGGTTTCTTGTTCATGTTACAGTCCCGTGCAGGTGGGGGCGGGGGAGGTGGATTGCACTACACACAATCATTTAGGGTCCCCGACTTCGTCGTCTGGCAGCCCCACTCTCCTCTGGGCGCCTGGACCCTGTTCCATGGAGGATCGGATAGGAAGTGTTTACGGTCCAGGTCTGGAAATAAAGCACTTTACCAAGATCTGCCTTCTATCGGCCAGAATTCAACCACACGGACACGCCAACATACAAGGGAGGCTGGGGCACGTTGTCTAACTCAGGGAGAGGTGGTAAATTTGGCCACCGGTGTATGCTGTCAGGGTCTCCCTCGGCCCCCAAAGACCTCCACATCCTTATATCCAGGGCTCACTTCCGAAGCCTCATTTTACGCCACCTCTCGACACGCCTCAGTGTTGGCCATTCCTCATCTCTTTGAGACTCTTCTGTTCTTGGCATCCTTCCCAACTTCTCTGGGTTTTCTCCAGCTCTCCTAGACACTCCTCTTCCACCCTGAAGGGTTAGGGGTCCTCAGGTTCCATCCTTCTCGTCTCATCCTTTCTTATCTCTCCCTGCACATCCCACCATTATTGGCTGCCTCAATCACTGGCTATACTCGTGACCCTGAATCTGTCTCCCGCCTGTCCTGTCTCCTGAGCTCAAGACTCTGGCATTAAACATCCTCCTGGACATCTTCACGTAGACCCCTCAAACTCAACAACCCCAAGCGGTTAATATCCTCTTTGCCCCCAAACCTGCTCCTCCTCCCGGGCTTCCCTGGCTGTGAATGGCACCATCATCCACCCAAAGTCTCAACTCCCAACGACTCGCTTCCCCAGGCCACGCGCTCTCAATCACCAAAGCCCTGCTGCCTCGACCGCCTAAACGTCTCTGACCTTCATCCACTCCTCTCCACAGCCATGACCGCTACCCAAGTTCATGCTACCATCACCTCCCTCCTGGACACCTGTAACAAACTCCCAAACTCCACCTGTCCAAACTCTGATCCCCAAGGGTCCTCTAGGCTAGTGCTTCTGAAACTTCAGCTGCATAGAAATCAGCTGGAGAGTTTGTTTAAAGTAGATTTCTGGGGGCACCTTGGTGGTTCAGTCCATTAAGTGTCTGACCTGATTTCAGCTCAGGTCATGATCTCACTGCTCATGAGTTTGAGCCCCACGTCAGGCTCTGTGCTGAGAGTGTGGAGCCTGCTTGAGATTCTCTCTCCCTCCCTGTCTCTGTCTCCCTCTGCCCTTCCCCCACTTTCTCTTTCTCTCTCTCAAGATATCTTTTCTTCTTTTGTCGTTTAAATTTTTTAACGCTTATTTCTTTTTGAGAGAGGCAGAATACGAGAGGAGGAGGGGCAGAGAGAGACAGAGACACAGAATCCAAAACAGGTTCCAGGCTCCAAGCTATCAGTACAGAGCCGACACTGAGCTTGAACCTATGAGCTGTGAGATCATGACCTGAGCCAAAGTCAAGACACTCAACCCACTGAGCCACCCAAGTGCCCTCTCTCTAAAAATAAATAAACTTTAAAAAAAAAAAAAAAAGTAGATTTCTGGGCCCCTCCCAGCCCCCCCTCCCCCCCACCCTGCAATCTGATTCTCATTCTATTGGTCTGGAATGGGGCTCAAGAATTTGCATTTCTAAAAACCTCCCGTAAGGGGGTCCCCTGGAGCAACCAGAGCTAAAGATGCTGGAGCAGAGGATGCAAGTTTTGGGACCATACTTTGAGCAGCAAGGATCTCCGCGCTGTCCAAAACGGAGGCCACTAGCCACAGATGGCTATTTAAATTACTAAGGCAAAATAAAACTCAAAATTCAGTTCCTCAGTAGCACTAGCCACATTTCAAATGCTCAATGCCACATGTAGCTACTGTATTGAAAAGCGTACAGTATAGAATATTTCCATTACCACAGAAAGTTATACAGGATAGCGTTGCCCAGGCCGTGGGGACCGTTCTAAAAATGAAGGCTGATCCTGGGCACCCCCCCCCCCCCTTTTTTTTTATTTTTTAAGGTTTATTTATTTTTGAGAGGGGGGAGGGGCAGAGAGAGGGAGACACAGAAGCTGAAGAAGGCTCCAGGCTCTGAGCTGTCAGCACAGACCTAGGCCCCCCCCTTCCCCCTAAGATTTCAGAGGCTCTCACTTCCTAATGAAGGATATCGAGAGCCCGGAGGGCACAGAGATGCTCCTAAACGCGGATACCCTGAACACGCTTCGGAAAGTCTGTATCTCTCCGGGCTAGAAAGAGGCCAAGAACTTTGAGCTCGTTGGCTGGTAGCGGGGGCGGCTGCCAGCGCTTTCCTTTGATTGGGTACTTTCTCATAGCGGAAAGCCAATCATCCAGGGAGGTGGGGGCGGGGCCCGGCTCGCCGTACAGGCCCCGCCCCGAGTTCCGGCTCTAAGCACCGCGGGAGAGTCCGATTGGCGGTGAGTTCTGACCCTTTACCTGCTTAAAGACCATTAGGTCCAGGACGCCAGCTCACCGCTTAAAGAGTGGGGAGGTAGGGTCATGTCCTCCCTCCGGCCACAGGGAGCACCCCTCCCCCAAGCCCTGAACTCCAGGTGTTACAGTCTCGCCCTCTGTGTGTTCAGTGTCACCGCCTGTGAAATGGGATTGGGTGGGAGGGGTGGGAATGGGAGAAATTGCAGTGTCCCTCGGACACGAAGGCTGTGTCCCCACAGGAGGATGGCGCAGGAGGAGGGCGGGAGCCTGTCCGAAGTGCGGGCCCGGGTGGGGGCATCACATGGCATCACCGACCTGGGCCACAAGCTGCACTTCTATGACCGCTGGGCTCCAGACTATGACCAGGTAAACTGGCCAGGCTCCTTCCCCTCTCTCCTCTTGCTTGCCCAGCCTCAACTTTCCTATCTCTAAAGAGGGAATAATTTGCTTTGCATCATCGCAGGTTGGCTTGTGAGAATGAGGTGAGACCCGGCAGTCCTGCCTCCTCAAGGACTGGCCCCCTCTTCGGCTCATCCACAGTAGCTCTGCCCTCTGACCAGCCCCATGTTTCCATATTGGCAGCCCCTTGAACAGGAAACAAGACCTCTCTACCCTGGGACTGCACCTGGAGGAGGTGCCAATACACACACACACACACACACACACACACACACACAGCTTGGCCTGTTTAATTCCTAGACCACCCTACACAGAGGTCACCCAAACACTGGGGCACGGGGTGCCGGTCAGCTCAGTATTCTGTCCCCAGGATGTGGCCGCCCTGCAATACCGCGCCCCCCGCCTCGCAGTAGACTGCCTTACCCAAGCCCTTCCGGGCCCACCCCATGCTGCCCTGATCCTGGATGTGGCCTGTGGCACCGGCCTGGTGGCTGCTGAGGTGAGGCCTCCCCACATCCCCTGTCCTCTCTTCAACTCCCCACTCGCTCAAATTTCCTCCCACCCCTGGCCCCAGAACTCTGCCTCCCTGCTCAGACTCACCGGTCCCAAACACGTGGACTACATTTACTGCGGAGCCTGCTGCCCTCCCCAGGTGCAGGGACCCAGCTGGGAGATGGCAGGTGTGAACTGTGACTGAGTCCCCCCACCTTAGCTGCAGGCTCGGGGCTTCCTCCAGCTGCATGGGGTGGATGGGAGCCCAGGGATGCTGGAACGGGCCCGAGCCCGTGGCCTCTACCAGAATCTCAGCCTCTGCGTCCTGGGCCAGGAGCCTCTGCCCAGTTCTGAAGGTACTTCCCTTCCCACCCAGGCACCTTGACAGTGAGTGCCCTTCTCTTGTCCAGCCTCCATCCTCCTTGCTGAGCCCTTCACAAGCCCCCGCCCACACTGAGCCCTATGAACCCCCACCGGGACCCTCTCTGAGCCCCTGTGAGCCCCTCTCTCTGAGCCCTCTACCCCGTGATCTGATGTCATCCCTGTGGGTATCATGAGGCCACACCAAAGACAGACCCCACACTCCACACAGGGACCTTCGATGCAGTACTGATGGTGGGTGCCCTCAGCGATGGCCAGGTGCCCTGCAGTGCGATACCTGAGCTTCTGCGAGTTACCAAGCCAGGTGAGGAGCAGGTCCATCCAACCCCACGTGAATGCCTTCCCCGGGGGGGCCCCCGGCCCCCGCACACCCACAGACCCACTAACCTCCGAATGTCTCAGGCTAAGCGAGGGGCAGGGTCCTGCCCAGGGTCACACAGCCTAGCCTAGCTTCCCAGCCACCAGCTGCCACCAACAACAGACCCAGGCAAGCAGGCAGGGCAGACCGGTAGCCAGCTTGCCCTCTTATCCACTGGGCAGCTCCACTCCCCCTGGCTCTGTTTCCTCGCCTCTGAGCGGTGACAGAGCCCCTTCCCCAATGGATCGCAGTGAGCGCTGAGTGAAAAGACGTGTCTGAGGCCTTTGCTCCAGTCCTGGCACTCAGTGGGGGCTCAGTTCAGTTCCCTCGTCTTCCGGCTCCCTCACGAACTCACTGACAACTGTCAGGTGAGTCTCTTGCTCTTTCCTGGTCTCAGTTTCCTCATCTGTGAAATGGGCTGCTCAGGTGAGATGATAGACGTGAGCACTTTTTGTAACCTCCACCCCTGGGTTGATGTGCAGCTAAGGGTTGTGTTTACTGTGCTCCTCCTGTGTGCCTTGTCCCGTGCTGGCCTCTGCTCTGGAGGGGGGGTACGCACCCTGCCCTCTGGGCTTCGATCACCAACCCACTGCACCCCACTGCACCCCAGGAAGGGGCGTGGGGAAAAGGACCAGGGCACACGCTCTGAGAATTCAGGGAAGAGAGGCATTTCCGGGGGACAGGCGGGGGGGGGGGGGGCGCTGACGGCAGTGGGCACAGGAACACAGCCACAGGCCGAAACAGGTCAGGAAGACAGCCACGGGGAGTCAGAGGCAGAAAGGAGCATGGGGGACTGAGCAGACAGGTGCTGAGGCCCTGACTTGGCTGCAGGATGGGCTCAGGAAGCCCTAAAGTGGGCCTGTGGCAGCAAGGCCGCATCCTCTCCCTGTCCCCCTCGCCTCCACTGCCAGGAGCCGGGCCTGTGGCTAAGCCTGGGCAGGTCTGGGCAGGCTTCAGCCTCAGGGAGCAGGGTCTTCGATGGGGTCAGACAGAGAGGTAGTGGTGGGGCTCAAGAGAACAGGAAACCCCCATTGGCATAACCAGCCCCACCCGCGCTTGTCAGGCCCCTGAGCTGGCTAGAGCCCCGTCTGCTGCGCCCCTGTCACAGGCTCCCCTGCTTTGGAGCCTTTCCTCTCACGGAGCCCCAGCCACCCACCCTGCAGGGCCCAGCTTCTCCTCCCCGCTTCCTCCAGGAAGCCTTCCAGACACTGGCCTCTTCTACATGTATCTGAGCCCGCACTGGGCATGCTATAGGTGTCTAGGGAACACCAGAAAGGATATGTCACTCATTCATTCAGCCGGCGCTTAAATGTGGTCCTTCCTGTGAGACCCAGAAACGAGCCCCACTCTGTAAGCTGGGAAACTGCAGCTCAGAGAGGTGATGGGACTTACCCAAGGTCCCAAGTGCTTCCTTCCTGTGCATCCAGACACACCACATCCTCCGGCAGAGGGGCTGGGTGAGCACTGAGGAGGGAGTCCCCTCTGTCCAGGGGATTAAGCCAAGAGTTCCCAGCGTAAAGGACGCGTGAGCCTGGAAGTTGGTATAGGAGGCTAAAAACGCAGAAGGGTATTCCTCGAGGCAGGAACAGTGAGCAGCAAAGGCATGGAGATAGGAAAAGGCTGGCGGTGGGGGGGCGCCCCCCCCCCCCAGAATGTACGCCCTTGAGGGAAGAGCAGGAAAGATAACCTTTCCCGGAAGGGGTGGGCCTAGAGCCTGGAACCAGGGCTCCTGCCCCTCCCCCACTCACCTCTTCCCCCCCCACCCCCACCCCCGTCTCTCCCTAGGGGGGCTGGTGTGTCTGACCACCCGGACCAACCCATCCAACCTTCACTACAAGGAGGCCCTGGAGGCTACCCTGGACAGGCTGGAGCAGGCCGGGGCGTGGGAACGCCTAGTGGCCTGGCCTGTGGACCAGTGGGAACTGGCCACATCCGAGCTTGAGGTGGTGCCCAGAACTTCTGACAGCGATGGCTTCATCTCTGGCATCGTCTACCTGTACCGAAAGCAGGAGGGGGCCCAGGTGGAGGGAGTGAGGCCCAGTCCTCAGCCCCCAGCTGGCCTCTGACCCTCTCATCCAGGTCTCCTCCAGGCCCGTCCTTGGGCCTCCTCTGCTTCATCTGTAAAATGGGGCCCCTGAGCCAACCTTGCCCATTAAATGAGTCCCAGGAGGGGTAGCAGGACTCTGGCTCTGTGAGTCTCTTCCCCAGGAAACTGACATCCGTCCCTGAGAAGGACAGAAGTGAGAAGAGATGGAGCAGAGAGGGCCCCCACCCCAGGCCGCCCCTGAGCCAGCCCCGACGGGGCCACAGATGTAACTTCCTGACACCTCCCGTGGTGGGCCCTCTCACGCTTACTCGAGGACAGGAAACTCATGCCCGTGCCTCTGGCCTTGGCCAAATACCTTCACATGGCCAGGATTCAGTTTCCTCCTCTCTAAAGGAGCCGGAAAGCTGAGCTCAGGGCGTGTCTGCCCGGTGAAAGGGTTCAGTGACCCCCGGGCCTTGGGGGTATGATCAGGACTAATGATAATTCCTCCACACAGGGACTGTGGGAAGGCTCGTTAGGGAGGAAGACTGAAGCCTGGCCTTCAGGACAAGCAGGATTCCGAGGGGTGGAGAAAGGCAAAAAGAACATTCTAGGCCCACAGCAGGAAACAGCCTGGGCCAAGGCCAGGACGTGGGACCTGGAGGGTGAGCACACCAACCTGGATGCCCAGGTTCGGACAGAGCTGGGACAAAGATGGATAGAGGGCAGGTGGCCCACCCCCCAGGGCTGAGTGTTCTCACGTGGCCTCCCCAGCACTTCCGCAGTGTGTTTCCTATGATCGCCTTGACCTTCCAGCAAACGAAGGGCTTGAGCGAGGTGATTCCCAAGGTGAGGGCGAGCTCTGATTTGTCACAGTTCCTCGAAACCAGGTTGTTGTTGTGGTTTTTTTAAGTGTTCTTGTGTTGACCACCACACAGCGGTCGTACTCCTCCCTCACCCCTGCCCAGGCTTCTAGCCCTCCCCTGCCCACCTTCACGGCTGAAATCAGAAACGATATGGTCTTCCTGTGCACAGGTCCCATTTATTGTAGAAAATTATAGTAATTACCATGACAAACAGATATTAAGTTACAAAACAGAAACCAGAGAGGAGGCAGGGAAAAAAAGGTCCAGGACTTCCTGGGAATGAAGGCCAGAGAAAGACCGTCCCCCCTGCTCTTCCCAGGATGCCCAACGACCTTGGCAGGGGTGGCGAATCCAGGCGTGACCGGTCACAAGAGGCTGGGGTCCTCCTACCCAGGCCGCTGAGGCAGAGCCCTGAGGCTGCAGGGCGGGGGGAGGGAGGGGTGCAGGCAGCATGGGCAGCCTCCGCGGTCTCCTCCCCCACCACCACCCAAACCAGTTTGTAGCGCCTTCACCCCTCCCCTCTAAACCCGTCTGTCAACTCTGTGTCAACTCTGCTCCACGGGCAGGTGGGGGAGCGAGGCGCCAGCCATCCTCACGGCCAACACAAGAGTGGGCCGGGCACCCGCGGAGGCAGAGCCCAAGCAAATTCAGGGCCGTGCTCTCCTGACCGGCAGGAGCCAGCTCCCCCCTCCGCCCCCGCACCCTGTTACTTCCGCCCCCTCTCCTGTGTCCCCGGGGCCAGAGGAGGGCAGCACAGGAGTCTCTTTCTGTCCATCCATCCTTGCTGGCGGAGAGGAGGCTCTGGGTAGGTGTCCGAGGGGGCCGGAAGGGGCTGCCGGCCGGTGGCCTGGCTCAGTCCCTGCTTGTGCAGCCTGCGGCCCGTGGCAGGAACATCCCCGGGGGCACGGGCTGCGCCTTCAGTCCAGGGAGAAGCAAAGCCCGGAGACAGAGCTGAGTGGCGGCACCTTACACGTAGTTGCTGGCCGGGGCGGAGCGGGCGGCAGAGTACTTGGCCGAGTAGGGCTTGTCGGTGCGCGGTGGGCAATTGCAGCACAGCAGGGCCCCCCCGAGGAGCAGCAGGCCCGAGGCGGCCCAGCCGACGTACAGAGAGGCACCCATCTCCCGCTTCTGGCCGGAGGCCACCAGCGGGTTGTAGAAGTCCCGGATGATGTTGTTGGCCGTCCAGGACACCGGCACCATTACCAGCAGGCCGGCCAGAATGAACACCACGCCCGCCACGATCATGGTCTTGGCCTTGGCGCTCTCGTCCTCCACACAGTTGGTGCACTTGCCGCCCACCACGGACAGCAGCACGCCCAGCACGGCCAGGATGATGCAGACGACCATGAGGGCGCGGGCCGCCTGCAGGTCCTGGGGCAGCGCCAGCAGCGAGTCGTATACCTTGCACTGCATCTGGCCGGTGCTCTGCACCACGCAGTTCATCCACAGACCCTCCCAGATGGTCTGCGACGTGACGATGTTGCTGCCGATGAAGGCCGTCACGCGCCACATGGGCAGCGCGCAGCTCAGTATGGCGCCCAGCCAGCCCAGCACGGCCAGCGCGATGCCCATCACCTGTAGTCCCATGGAGGCCATGGCTCGGCGTCTGCCGGGGTCTAGGACCTGGAAGGCTGTGGGGATCCGGCCCCGGGGGGCTGTAGGAATCCAAGCGATGAGGACAGACCCTCGGCGTCTAGAGGGAAGACTTTCACTGCGAGTCCAGAGGCAGAGACAGTCGGCTCAGCTCCTTATCTCTCCAGAGTCAGAAGCACCAGCACAGCGAGTGTGACCGGACCAGTTCCTGTCTCCAGTCTGACAGGAGACTGGAGACTGGAGCAGTTATATGGCTCTTGGGGGGGGGGGAGCAGAGGGAGGGGTTTCCGTCCCTGGGGACTTCCCCTGACCAGTTTCTCTGGATTCCAGAGTCAGGGCCAACAAAGGCCCTTCAAGGCCTCAACCCTGGGCCCCTGAGTCAGGATCCTGGAGAGCCAGTCTCAGGGGAAACTGCCCTCTCCCCACCCCCCCCCACCCCCGCCCCCAGGCCCTTGCTGAGGTCAATCTGGAGGTAGACACTGAGTCACAGTCCACAGGCACCTGGACCCATGGGGCAGCCACGCCCAGCCAGGTTCAGGTCCCGAAGACAGGATCTCCACACCTCAGGGCTCCCTCCTTCCAGGCTTGGGTGGGCAGATGGGGTGGAGACCCTCAGGGAGGGGGTCTGAGGATGAAATCCCCACCCCAATTACTGTAGTCCTGTCCATAGCTCTTCCCCACTGGCCTGATCACTACTGTTCCCATTCTCACCATCCACCCACTTGCCTCACCCGCGTTTTTGGTGTTGGCTCGACGAGGGCAGTTTGGGGAACGAGGGGGGTCTGTTACTTGCTGTCCCCGCTCTTACCACCACCAGGCTTCCCAGCCCTGCCAGAGGAGAAGAGAGAGGGAAACCTGCCCCCCCAACTCCTGCCCCCTACCAGGAGAGTTTCGGTCACCTCCTCCTGGGGCTGCAGCCTGTTTGGCCAGACCTGAGTGGGGGAGATCACCAAGAACACGCTACGGGCCAGACCCTGGGAGCAAAGCCCAGCAAAAGCCTGTTTACTCTGTGAAGACACACAGAGAGGTGGTCAGATAAGGATGGGGGCAAAGTCCCAGGAGGCTTCAAAAGGGAGGAAGAACACAGACAGAATGGAGGTGGGGCTCTGGGAAGGGGGCTTGGAAGGAAAGGGGAGCTGCGTGGTACAACTCTGGGGGTGCAGAGGGCACTGAGGACAGGAATCGCCACAAACGGGAGTGTGCAAGGCAGCGGGACTAGGTGAAGGAGGACATTTGGGGAGAAGAAACATGGAGGTCAAAGGTGCTGATGGGGGTGGGGGGGTGGAATGCACTTAATTCTAGGAACCCGGAGGAATCCAGTCTGACCAGACCCTGGGGTCGTGGGGGAGGGGCTGGAGAGAAAGGGCCAGAAATCTCTGCCCCAAGTATCACTGAGCCCATCAGGATCAGCAAGGGCATTGGATGCCAGGCAGAGAGGTGCCCGCACACCCTAGGGAGATGTCTCTGGAAACTAAATAGAGGTGAAAGAAAGCAGGGGAGGGGTTGAGGGGGTCTTTGTCAAGGAGAGTGGCTGGATCAAGGGAGCCCCTCACCCTCCACATGGTCGCCACCACGTGGGGATCTTCAGGTCCCAGAGCCCCCAGCACTGTCCAGCACCACGCTCAGTGCCCTGGGGTGGCTGTGTGTCCTCCGGCTTCCCATGGAAGCATCAGCAAGCATGCGTGATTTAGGTTGGAGTCCTCTGTGAGCCCTGGGCACACCGGAGGCCTTTGGACCCCGTGTTGACAACCTGATACACCGCAGGGCTGGCTGGGACAATCTAGCGTGATGGGGAAGTCGCGGTCTTGCGCTGTGGTTGGCGGTAACGCATCCGGCCCCTCTGTGAGGCCGGGGGGCTCCCAAAGACCGAAGCAATGCCTGTCTCAGCACAGAGGTGCTCGGTGAATGCTCGGGGCGCTCAGTAAGGCAGGAGGCATTCTCCTGGTTCCCAAACGCCCTCCCCCACTCTCCCCTACACACACACACACACACACACACACACACACACTGCCAGGGACACACACCAACACAAACAGGGATGGTTTCTGCCTGGACCACACCTCCCAGGGTTTTCCTTACAAGGCTCTGAGGAACAGCACACCCCAAGGCCTGTGGGCTGAGCAACAGAGATAACTACCCTTCAAGATTAAGTGCTTTCCTGTGATGACCTCATCACAGCCTCCCCATCAGTAAGGAGGCAGGGTCTCTTCGAGCCTTCGCACAAATGGGTAAGCTGAGGCCGGAGAAGGCCGAGGGCTTGCCCAGGATGGGATGGGCACTCCTCCATCAGAGCCTCCTTAGCCATGGTCCCAGCACCTCAGCAAGCTTTCTGAGTACAGAAGTGAGTTGGCCAGATGGCCGGACCCCCACCTTGCCCCACCCCTGCCAACTTCCTGCCCTTGTTTTCCTGGGACACAGCCAACTGGCACTTGGAGAAGTAAGAGTGGGGGAGGGGGAGCACACAGGCCCTAGAACTTTCCACCTGTGGCCCAAAGAAGTGACTAAGAAGCTGTCCTTCCCTGCCCAGTTCAGCCAAGCACATCAGAGGCAGGGGAAGGGAAGGGCAGGTGCAGGAGAGGCCCAGGCAGAGGGCAGGCCCAGAGCAGGGGAGGTCTGTGGGGAGTCCAGATGGGGCTGTGGGCCCAGGTGTGCAAAAGGAACAGAAGGGGATCCCCAGGGGACCGTGAGCAGCTCTG